CAGAATTTTCTTCCTATCCTATTTCAACACATGCTTCCCAAACTTATCAACTCTTTTCTCTTCTTTCCACAATTTTCCCAGGATTTTCAAATACCTCTCCCCTTTAAATTGATGAAAATTTCAGCTCTACCACAGGAACTACCCCCAAATTATACCCCAAACCTCATCATGCTCAGAAAAATAAAAGCCTTCTAATTTATACCACCTAACCTCCATAGGAAGCAATGAGAAATTATAGTATTTTTAAAATAAGCTTAAAATAAGCTAAGCTTAAAATAAGCTTAGCTTTTTATAATCACTGTCCATGAAAATTATGTGACTGACATCATTCCCTACATATATTATGTCTGTCTCCATGTTAACTTCAGCTGTTTTCACCTCTGACCCTCATTTACTTCAAATCTTGAACCTCAGGTCTGACTTGACCAAAACCTTGAATGGATTCTGGAATGCTTTTGAAAATGTTTTTCGATAGCAGTCAGTACAGCTCTTTTATTTAGCATTTCTTCTGTGCTTAGCAGTATACTTTACAACTAATCACATTTAAACCTTCTAACAAGTCTATGAAATGAATATTATTTTTCACATATGCCAATTGACTTTTCCCTTGTCATGAAATAAGACTTTCATCTTGGCATTCATAGCTTTTGGTGGTACAGGGACAACGTGCTCACTAAGCAGCCAGCAACATGTTGCTGAGCAAGAGGAGAGGTAGGTAACAATTATTCAAGACTGATCTTTATCTCACATCTAAACAGTTGAATGAGACAAAGAAAGTATGAGGATGCCACATGTAATTCACTGAGGTTTATGTAGTGCTCAGTAACTTCTGCAATGGTGTTACCCGCATGATGTTCCCTAATCTTAATAGGAAGCCTGAGAAGCAAATATTATGACCCCATTTTTACAGACAAGGAAAGGAGACTCGTAGATATGGAGAAACCTACCAAAAAACCTGCTAGCAAATGGCAGATACAAGAGCAAAGTCTTTATCATCTACCTCCATATGCACTTAATGCATTTTAAGCAACACCACATGAATTTACAAAGCAAATAATGTAATTTCAAACTAAAAGGTTAAAAAAAATAGAGTAAATTATGGCAGCTCATACATTAAAAATTGAGGAAGTTCTGTAGCAACAGGGGCTTAGTATAAAAAGAATAAAATTGTTGGCTCAAGGAAGTAGATAAAAAATATAATTTACAAATGTATTTAAGCTGCTTCTCCCTGTGGAGCAGGCTATGTAATGAGGAAGAGAAGGAAAAGGGAGAGGAGGAGGAGAGAGGGGAGGGGAGAAAAATGCCTGAAACAAAGCCAAAGAGACTCATCTTAGGGACAATGCATGGAATGCTCACGGAGAGCAATGAGAAGAGAACAGGAAAAAGTTTAGATGTCATGAAAATCTTGAACATTTGGGTATTTGAGTTAATTACTTGAGGTACGGTTTGTAAAATACTCCCCTAGCAAATCTCTTCTTAGAAAGACAGAGGGACATTAAGCAATTTGATCACAATCATTACAAGAGACTTACAAGAGACTCTTCTATCAAGTTCCCCATTTCTCAGAGCCTCACTTTAAACTCTTGTTATTCACATCACCATTTTTGATTCCAAAGTATGGGAGCCAAGAACCATGCAATCATGAATAAATGGTAAACATGCTGTGGTGGGTTTGTTTTCCCTTACTCAGGGTTTTCTGTGGAGCATACCTGGTAAGAGTTACATCATGCATAGTCAATTGTGTTCAGTTCATCAGCTGACTACAGACATTTCTCCCAGGAAGCTTCCCTCCCTGATATGCTCAACTCCATTACCAAACTCTAAGGCACAATAAAAGATTCATAAACGTAACGACAGCATAGAAGCGTAAAATGTGAAATACCCAGGAGAAGATGAAATTATTTTAGTTCCTTGCTCAATCACAGTGTATTTTATATAATACAATGTGGCAAGCCGCATACATGATCTAAAACGTATCTTTATGAGCTGTAGCACCTCATGCTTTAGTTATCACCTCTACAGATATGCAGAGGGTAATACCTCAGGTAGGCAGAATGCAGATAAGGGGCAGAAAATAGTCACTCCTCTGAATAGCTAGTACACATGTACTCCCAAAGCTCGTATCTAAAACTTGTGTATTTTGTTCTGTGAGAAGTTTATTATCACTCAGAACCTTTCTGCTCTTATTTTACATATAATTCTAAGAAATTTGATATAACGTAGACTTAATCATAGGCTCTCCCATATGTTAACTCCTATATCTTATTTGGCAAGAAATTTAATATTTCAAAGCCTCCATTTTCTCACCTGTAAAGTGGGTATAAAATAGGTATATTTTTATAGGATAGGTATGAGCTTATAGTCAGTACATCTATATAAAGTATAAACACAAAGCGAGTACCCTAGAGTTTAAACACAGATTTTTTTCCATTGAACCTGATACCACATTGTGAGCCAACTACCTTATCTGAAACTCAATCATAGAAAGAGTAGTCTTTTTCAATGCCAAAGAAAAACTGGCTGTGCTGGAAGTATTGAGATAATGTATGTTGATCTCCACAGTGGAAACCTCCTATGGGATTTTCAAGGGTAACTTCAATTTATGTGATTGTCTTTTATTGCTAGCACTAATACCTCCCTAAGAATTCAAAATGCATAGTAATTTGAACCTACCTAGAACAGGTGTAAACAGGCCTTCTTAATCTCATTGCACTGCATTGTAGCAGAGTACAATAATCAGTGTCCTTTTTTTTTTCATGGTCAGAAGGCATATTGTTCTATGTTTACACTATAAAATTGCAAATGGTAAATTTAACATAAGTGAAAAATAAATTGTTCACATTTTTTTTGCATAGTCTGGGTAAAGGTTACATTTCTGTTCATTATCAAGGCAGCATAGTAGCAACATTTAAAGAGTCTTTGGGAGCCAGTAATCATGGGAGGCAATATGGATGATGCAAAGTCATGAGCAATCTTGTAACCAGAATTAAATAAATGGTATCAGGGAATTGCGGAGGCAAGATCTATATTTTTCAATATAAGCAGGTTCCAAAGAATCATGACCTTGTGTATAATAACAATGTTAATGCCCTTTTCTCTCTGTGGAAGATAGGAAATTAGCCAGGAATGGTGCATTTGATGATGAAGAACATAAAGATATGGTTCCTAGGCCTGAACAGGAGGAGATAATACCTGGACACTATTGGGATAGGTCATCTGCCACAGATGATCGGTCCTCAACATTCTTACTCTGTGTGTCAGATGACAAGGCTTATCGAACCCCATAATCAGTGTTCTTAATGATGAACTGAGTCATCAAGAAAAGTTTAAGTGTGTCTTCCATAATACTGGGACAAAGGAGGCAAAGTAAACAGAAGTATTTAGAAAGATTATCCATCTAAAAAACTAAAAATTTTAAATGATATTTTTTTCAGGAAACCTATAAGCATAAATACTCAGCCAGTCAAAAAACTCAACAGAGCTAATTACCATGCCACTGGGGTCAATACAGGACACTGTCTTCCCACTCACGTGTAAAGATGGCTTAACACTGTCGCTGCAGTACTCGGACTCAAGACTAGGAAAGTTTTTCATATGGAAAGAGTGAGCTACCTAAACATCTATCCTTCTCAGGATCTTTGCTTACTCCACTAAGTTGTTTTACCTTTTCTTACTGATTTGTAAGAGCGCTTTACATAATAAGGATATTAGCCTTTGCTTCTGAATTGTAAATAAATTTCCAGACTTTACCCTTTGTCTTATACTATTTTGCCATAAGGAAGTCTTCGATTTTAGTATAATTAAATGTGACAAACTTTTCTTTTATGATCCTTGGGTTGCTGTCACATGAAGAAAGCCTGTTTTTAGCCCAAGATCATTAAAATATCCTGTTATATTTTCTTCTGTCCCCTCTGTGGCTTCATTTTCACAGTTAAGCCATTAATCCAATTGTAATATATATTTTTACATTATGCAAAGTAAATTTCAAAAAAACACTTTTTAAAATATAATCCTTATCTTTTTAATTTATGTAAATGAAAGCATGGATTTTTACACTATACCTAGGTAAAATAAATGTAATAAATTCTCGTGTTATTATAAATTACCAAATATTTATATCTGCTAAGATAAGCAAACATTTTGATATTGTGATAAGAAGGAAAGGGAAGCTAATTCTTACAGAATACCTGCAATGTGCCAAGCACTGTTCTGGGTAGACTGTATATAGCATTCCATTTAATCCTCATGAAACCAAGACTCAGAGAGGATAATAACTTACCCACAAAATCACATAGCCTAATAGAGCAATGACTTAAAACCAGTTTGTTCTGACTTCAAAACTCATGTTCTTTCTGCACAGAGACACAGAAGTCTCACCACATGTCTAAGGGATATGTGATTATATTTAGTGGCTAATGTTATTTTTTCCAAGTCCAAATTAGCCCATTTAATGCCTTGGATAACAGTTATTATTATCACCACATTGTATCTAAGTATAGAAACCGAGGGAAAATGATATGGATGGCCTTTGATTCCTGGGTAAGGTAAGGGCTAGAAAATGTATAATCTTCTGTTTTCTAATCCTGTTTTCTGAATTTCTAGACTAGAGTTTAGTAAAGAAGTGATCATGAAAGTCCACGGAAGTTCTAGGCAGTTGGGGATTTTGTACTTCTAGGTATACCTCGCAGTCTCCATACACTCATCCAGACTGATTAGCACCTAGATTACGATATGCTTTGTGAAATAAAGTAAAATAACCAAAGAATAAAGTCAATTTTGTTCATTGCATTCAAATACAGCCCAACAGAAATATTTATGTTAATGTTACACACACTAATTTTCCTATTATTGCCATATCAATACGAAAAGCTTATAGCACTTTAGTGCATGAAAAACATGGCCACACATACTGTCCCAATTGATCTCCACAAGCACCACATAAGAAGAAAGCAAAGCATATTTCCCATTTTTACCAGGATGACAGAAGTTATACTCCTTACCTAGATCCCAAGGCAGTGAAACGCATAAGTGTGTGAGCAGGGGCTACAACTTGGCTTTTTGCATTTCTAATTCCATTTTTCTCACCATATGGCACTCCTTTTGTAAAAAAAAAAAAAAAAGAGAGAGAGAGAGAGAAAGAAAAGAATTCAAGTTTAATTTTAAAATGCAATGAAAGTCCAATAAAAGTAGAGTTTTAAAAATGATTTAGTTTATTAACATCTAATCTTAGACTTACCCTGTTATAAAAAGAGACATTGTAATCTCTGGCCCTAGCACTATTTGAGAAGTTAAGAGGACAAGTATCTGTCCTTGAGGACTGAAAATAGAATAGGTAGACCAGAACATCTGCTGGATTCCATTCTAAGCCAATAATTAAAATTCATAAAGGATTTACAACTATTTTCATACGTTCTTGGAAAAGGTTCAGTTTCATAAATGTTGAGTACACCTACTATGTGCAGGGCATTCTGAAGGGTACTGAGAAAATACAGTGTAAGTGGGATGCCTGCAGAAACCACTATTCACTGTGGATGTCTCTGAGGGTGTGAGTCTAAGGGAATTCTTTCGGCATAGCCCTATTTCCAAATTTTTATGTAATTAGCATACACTTGTTTTGGATAAGAAATAAATAAATAAAACAAAATGTATGGGAAAATGCTACAGTATAATGTTGTCTTACTTTCTACTAGAATAGGCCTCCCATGTTAAATGCTATCTTGCCATCCTGAAAGAGAGGTGAAGCTCACATTGATTGAACAATTACTATGTGCCAGGCATTTTTGCAGGCGCTTAGAAATGTACACTTATTTACTTCTCAGCACAACCCTGGGAAGAAAATATCATTATCCTCATTTTACAGATCTGGAAATGAACTCCTAGTGAA